AGGACCAGAACAGTCGTGGTCAGTATGCACGCACCCGATTACGGCTGATTACCGTATCAACCGTCCGCACGTCTGCGTGTCTCTTGTTGCTGCCCCGCAGGAGCCTGATCAGTCTGGCGGTGCGCCGTGCCCCGAGCTGTCAGAAGAGAGGGCATGCAACGAAGACCCGTGCGGTGAGTCAGTCAGACAGACAGACAGACAGGCAGGGGAATGGATGTGTCTGTGTGTGTGCAGCGGTCGACTGCAAGGTGGGTGGTTGGGGCAACTTCTCTGAGTGCTCCAAGTCGTGCGGCGGCGGCTCCAGGACCAGAAACAGAACAGTCGAGGTACACAAGAACAAACAAACAGAGTCTGATGTGCACACCCAGCTGTGTGTTGTCATACAGGTTGAGCCGTCCGACGATGGCGAGCAGTGTCCCGACCTCGAAGAGACTGAGGAATGCAACACACAACCATGCGGTCCGTTCACCGCACCACACAACCTCATGCACACACGGCCACATGGATGTGTTCGTTTGCCTTTTTGTGTGCCTCCATTCCTTCATTCGTTCAGATCCGTGTGCCGGTCTGTCGTGCGGTCTCAACGAGGAGTGCCGGCGGAGCAGCGACAACACGACCGCCACCTGCAAGTGCACACCGCCGTTCACACGAGCATCACCTGAAGCAGAATGCATGAACATGCAGCAGCAGCAGCAGCAGCAACCAGCAGTCGGGATCCCCAGGCCAGTTTCCGCCGAATCCGACCAGCAGCAGCAGGGACCAGTAGGGATCCCGTCGATTCCCTCCGGCTGCAATGGGAATTGCCGGTCAATGAACTGGTTTAACGACACGGTGTGCGACATGGAGTGCTTCACTGAGGAGTGCAGCTGGGACGGCGATGACTGCGCCAGCGAGCCCCGGATGAATGCCAACCAGCAGACAGAAAACGAAACCAATAGGCGGGACATTCCCGAGACGTGTGTTGGGGACTGCCGTGATTTGGAGTGGGTCAACGATTCGGTGTGTGACTTGACGTGCTACAACTATGCATGCGGATTCGACGGCGGCGACTGCGACCCTGGTGCGTGTGACAAAAGAACCACTCGGCCGCCGGATGTGGTGAATGCGTGTCTATATTGTGTGCAGGTGTGGAATGCACTGATCTGGCTTCATATTGCAAGTGGAACGAGACCTGCCAATCGCAAGACGACGGGTCAGCTCTCATATATGCACACATGGATGGATGGATGGATGGTGTGTGTTGTGTATTATCTGTGTGCAGGTTCGGTCGCTGTGAGTCTCTGTGTTCGACGATCGAATGCTCAGAAGATAGAAACGAAGTCTGCGAGGTAAAGGACCAAACCAACCACATCCAAGGGATGCGCACATGGATGTCCGTGTGTGTCTGTGGTTGGTCCGTCTGTGTGTGCAGGTGCAGCGGATTCCCGAGGGCGAGCCGGGCGCCGGCAGCGGGGTGGGCAAGTGCGTCTGTGCAGAGAACTACGTCCGCGGAGACAACGACGAGTGCTTCCAAGGTCGGTACCCTCATCGTCAGCACACTCACATGGCTAACACATGGATGTGTGTATGGTTTGTCAGTTCGCGACTGTGCGGTTGCCGAGTGGAAGGATTGGGGTGAGTGCTCCAAGTCGTGCGAAGGAGGCGTCAAGAAGAGAACACGAGAAGTCACGGTAAGCATACCACACACCACTCACACTCGTACGTGCGTCATCGATGCATTTCGTGTGTGCATTCATGTGTGGATGCAGGCCGAGCCGCAGGGCGGCGGTGAGGAGTGTCCCGAACTCGAAGAGACAGCGCCATGCAACGAGCAGCCTTGCCGTACGCATCACAAAGACACGTTGGGCATCCGTTGCATATGTCTTTGTGTCCCCCCTGTTGTGACATCAGCTGTGGCGTGTGTGGTGGGTGACTGGTCGATATGGTCGCCCTGCTCCAAAGACTGCGGCGGAGGCAAACGGAGACGAGTCAGAGAAATCACCGTAAGGCAAACCCACCCTCACCACGGACGGAGAGACGTATGTGTGTGTCGTGTGTGTGTCAGACTGAGCCCCAGCACGACGGTGAGGAGTGCCCCCCACTCAGTGAGGAGGAAGACTGCAATACCGAACCATGCAGTAAGGAACCTCTCTTCACAATGAGCTTCACCCACCTGTCTGAATGCATGGATGTCGTTGATTGCCGCAGAGACGGACTGCACGGTGTCTGACTGGTCTGAGTGGGACAAGTGCTCGGAAGAGTGCGGCGGAGGCACACAATCCAGGACCAGAACAGTCGTGGTCAGTACTCATTTATGGGCAGAGTGATCGTCATGAATTCACGTCTGCGTGTCTCTTGTTGCTGCCCCGCAGGAGCCGGATCAGTCCGGCGGTGCGCCGTGTCCCGAGCTGTCAGAAGAGAGGGCATGCAACGAAGACCCGTGTGGTCAGTGAGACAAGCAGCCATGGAGGAGGGAGAGTGCATCATGTGTCTGTGCAGCGGTCGATTGTGAGGTGGGTAGTTGGGGCAACTTCTCTGAGTGCTCCAAGTCGTGCGGCGGCGGCACCAGGACCAGAAACAGAACAGTCGAGGTACACAAGAACAAACCAACACAGCATGATGTGCACACATAGCTGGGTGTTGTTCTCTGTCTGTCGGGCACAGGTTGAGCCGTCCGACGATGGCGATCAGTGTCCCGACCTCGAAGAGACTGAGGAATGCAACACACAACCATGCAGTAGGAACCTCTCGGCACAAATGAGCTTCACCCACCTGTCTGAATGCATGGATGTCGTTGATTGCCTCAGAGACGGACTGCACGGTGTCTGACTGGTCTGAGTGGGACAAGTGCTCGGAAGAGTGCGGCGGAGGCACACAATCCAGGACCAGAACAGTCGTGGTCAGTACTCATTTATGGGCAGAGTGATCGTCATGAATTCACGTCTGCGTGTCTCTTGTTGCTGCCCCGCAGGAGCCGGATCAGTCCGGCGGTGCGCCGTGTCCCGAGCTGTCAGAAGAGAGGGCATGCAACGAAGACCCGTGCGGTGAGTCAGTCAGACAGACAGACAGACAGGCAGGGGAATGGATGTGTCTGTGTGTGTGCAGCGGTCGACTGCAAGGTGGGTGGTTGGGGCAACTTCTCTGAGTGCTCCAAGTCGTGCGGCGGCGGCTCCAGGACCAGAAACAGAACAG